CTGCAGTGGAGAGAGGAGCTGCTGTTTAGTGCAGGGCGGAGAGGAGCAGCGGACACATTGAAGAGCCACGCAGCCCACAACCTTCTGCCCTGCATGAGAGCAGCAGTACTGGGAGGCAAACACATAGAACTACTGAACACACTCGACTCCGGTGAGGAAAAGATGGACAGTCACTGAGCTGCTATCACTCCTCACGCTGAATGAGAATATGAGCATTAAAATATATTAAATACTGCACTAATGTGTGCCACATAAAGTAACATATACTAAATACTGATTACACGAAAAATTTCATTGGTTGAACTGATCAAATAGTGTCATAGAACAGCTGAACATGCTTGCAGGAGAGCACTACTGTAACTGGCTTATTCTACATTTGTACATCTCTCTCTCTCTCTCTCTCTCTCTCTCTCTCTCTCTCTGTGTCTCTCTCTCTCTGTCTCTCTCTTTCTGCCTTTCGGTTTATTTGTCTGTTTTTTTCTGTTCATTCTGTTTCAGTGGCTTCAGGGAGTCTTGCCGATCTGGGTGTAGCTGCGCGTACTTTGGCATGCATCGCTGATGTTCTTGGTTGCATGGCCGGCGAGGGGAAAGGGGGTTTGAGGAGTGGCCCGGCTGCTAATCCATCCTGGGCCTCTGCTTTCAGCCTGCTGGAGCAGGGCAAGCTGGAGGCTGGTGTCCTGGAACTGGCCAATCAGAGAGCCCGCTGGCTCAACAGGTGAGAGTTTAGAGTGCAGAATGTGAGCAGGTAATCGTTTATGGGGATTTGCGTTAATGGTGTACATTTTCATCCCCTATAGACCAGATCTGCTGGTAAGAGCTGCCAGACACTACGAGGGTGCAGGACAGATCCTTCTCAGGAAAGCGGTGATGTCCGCACGCCAGTTTGTGCTCACTGGTCAAGGCGAGATGCCGCCAATGGGAGAGTGGCAGGAAGTGGAGTGTCCAGCCCGACTGGACCTCTCTGGTGAGTTTCTGCAGTACTGTGCCCTGCACACGTAATTCCAGTTCCTTCAGGTCATTTTGAAATATATCAGCTTGCAACCTGTATACTGTAAATAATGTTAGAAGTATTAAAACATCAGTGAAACAGGACGTTTCGGACATCAGCTGCGTAAACAAAGTAATTTTTTTTTATAGTTTATCATATATAGTTCCATTTCTTAATATATTAATATATGAATACACCCTCCTGCATTTGCTTTTTTTTTTTGAAACGTGAATCAGAAGTAAAGTAGAAGGTGCACTTTAACCATTGTACTAAAATGACTTTAGGCGGTTGGAGTGATACTCCCCCGATTGCGTTTGAGCATGGAGGTGTGGTAGTGAACGTGTCTGTGAAGGTGGATGGAAAACGGCCGATCGGAGCCCGAGTGCGTCGCATTCCAGAGCCCCGGCTGGTGTTGGTGAGCCGCAGCGGCCCTCCAGATTGCAGCATGACTACACAGACAGTGTGTAATGACCTCACTGACCTGGAGGACCACTGCCAGCCCCATGCGCCTGGTGAGGACTAACGTCCAAATCAATGATACTTCTGCTTCTCCAGCCTCAGTTTAGAAACTACTTTGCAATTTCTAATTAATAAGGAAAGGAGATTTAACTGTATCATAAAGGTTTCATTTCTTTTGTGTGATTCTGTGTGTGTGTGTGTGTGTGTGTGTGTTGCAGGTGCCCTGTTAAAGGCGGTGTGTGTGTGCAGTGATGTAGTGTGTTTTACGTCTCCTCTGTCTCTGGAGCAGCAGTTGCTGCAGCGCTGGGGAGGAGGACTGGAGCTGCACAGCTGGTCTCAGCTGCCTCATGGCTCAGGACTTGGTGAGACTACGTGCTTCAGTCTGGGACATAACAGAGTCAACACTGTACAATATTCTTCACTTAGGATTTTAAACAGGACACACATTTGGGCCCATATGTCTGAGTCAAAACCCAGGCCCAAAACCTTTTTTTTATATCATCATTTATCAAAACTAATACAATATTCTGCTTTTGTGATACTTATTATTAAAGATATTTCAAATATCTGATCAATTAAATGCATAATATTTCAATAAATTAAAAAAAGCATTTAAAATGTGCCTTTTCTTTACAGGAAAAACAAGCAATAATAACACTGAACAGATGCTACTTGGGTTGTATAATAATGACAAACACTGTCTAAAGAGTCATTGAGACTAACACAAAAAGAAAGATAATACGTGTTGACAACAAAGAATGTAAAAAAAAACTGAACGAGGAAGTACAAAACAAAGTGAACCTAAAACTAAGCAGGATACAAACATGAAACTAAAGAATATAAAAAAGTACAAATCAATAAGCTTAACCAAGTCTAAACTAGAAACAAGCCTATAATTAGTACATAATAATAACTAGACCTTAGCTATAGGAAGAATAGAAGCTAAATTGCACTAACAAGCCAAGATTTTAACACATTTCATTAAAGCAAACAATGCAAGTTTAGAGACATAAATAAAGTTCATGGAATGGAGCAAGGCTTCATAACAACAGTCTGATACTGAAGGCTGTTTAAACAGGATCTGTGGTTGGACCAGTGGATTAATGATGGTGACGAATCCGGGAGCCCGAACGCTGGATTTGCATTATGGGTGGTGTTGCTTTGTCATCACAACAGTGACACTGATATTTACATTGCACAGTGTATTTTGAGAGAATTGTGTTTACTGTTGAATTTCTTGGTACTGGATTTTGGATTGTGTTGTAACATTATTTCACGTAAGACATTCATAGGTGTTACTGATATAAAGTGAACTTTGTGGTGTGTGTGTGTGTGTGTGTGTGTGTGGTGTGTACAGGTACAAGCAGTATCCTGGCAGGTGCAGTTCTAGCAGCTGTGTACAGGTGCACTGGCCGGAGTTATGACACCAGTTCTCTCATCCACGCTGTACTACACCTGGAGCAGATACTCACCACAGGTCAGTGGGGCTCCAGCCATCACACTATAACCAGGGTGCACTCATAAATCAGGCCTTATCTTATCTGTGTTGCTGTCTACCTGCCATGTGGTAGACTTACGGGTGAATAAGTGGATGTATTTGGGGTTGTGGAGTTGTTTTGGAGTTGTATGCAATGTGCATGATACACTGCAGATCACAGACAAAGAAATAAACAAATAAATCGTAGCACTATGGCAGCTGCAACAGCAATAATGGTATTACTTAAAAACATATTAGGAACACGAATTTCCTAAAAACCTGTGTTTGTATGCACTTTCACTTTTTTTTAAGTCAGAAGAGATCAGTGATATTTCTCTCAAAACTATTGTAATAATCAGAGTATGTACTGTATGTATATATTTATTATTATTATTATATATATGATACATATGTTTATTAATTAATACACACATTAGGTATTAGTAAAATAACTAAAACACTAAAGAAATGTGCCATAGGTGGAGGGTGGCAGGACCAGGTAGGAGGGCTGGTAGGTGGAGTGAAGGTGGCGCGGTCTCGTCCCATCCTTCCCCTGAGAGTGGAGGCGGAGCAGCTCGTGCTTCCTCAAGGCTTCCTCACTGCGCTGCAACAGCGTCTCCTGCTGATCTACACCGGCAAGACACGATTGGCACGCAACCTGCTACAGGTCAGAACAAGACTCTCTTTCATCCAGCCAGTGTGTGTTACTCCCTTATGGGAGTGTGTGTGTGTCATGAACCATGCTTGTATTGTTATTCCTAACTCGTTTATTTGTTTTATAGGATGTGGTGCGGAATTGGTACAGTCGTCTGCCGTCGATCGTGCAGAACGCAGAGCAGCTGGTGAGCAATGCTGAGGAGTGTGCACGGGCCTGCACGGAGGGTGAGTGTACACAGAAAGCACAGATATAAATAAAGAGACGTGTCTTAGACATGTGTCTTGAACATGTTTTGTGCAAAAGGTATGCCTGAGATGAGTGAACACTGCAAGTCTCTCTAATGCACTGTCTCTCCATATGGGTTTCCTCTCTCCTTTTTCTCAGGATCTCTCACCAAACTAGGGGCCTGCATGAACCGCTATTGGCTGCAGAAGAAAGCGATGGCTCCAGGATGTGAACCAGCCGCAGTGAGAACCATGATGGACGCCCTTCAACCCATAGCCTTAGGGCAAAGTCTGGCAGGGGCAGGAGGCGGTGGCTTCCTGTTCATACTCACAGAGCACGCCCAGCAGGAGGAGAACGTACGACAGATCCTCAACAGCACACAGGTGTGTGTGAGAGAGAGAGAGACTAAAGAATCAGGCCTTAAAATTCTAGATCTTTATTTGTCTTGCAATCAAATCAGTAAAATAGATGATTAAAGTTAATCTTCAGCTTCTAAATAATTGGCAGAGTGTTTGTAATCTTGGCTCGGTGTTATTTTTTTGTTTTTTCTTTACAGGGTCTCTGTGCTTTCAGCGTGCACTCAGTGGAGATTGACATGGAAGGGATTACAGTCATACATCAGAGCACGGGTAATGCTCATCGTCCCAGTTAAACTACACAAACTGCAGCATACTTTCTGCACCAAGACTAGAAAACTGAAGCACGCTGAACGGATCAGAAAAAAGATAAACCGAAACAAAGTGTGAAACGTAATGACCAAAGGTGTCTACAGTACATACAGTATGTAGATTGGAAGAAGATCAAGCAATATTTTTCCAGTATTCAGTTTGGATGAGTCTGTGCAAACTACAGCTTCAGATTTCCAGCCCATCCATGTAAAGGTTCAGTGTGTTGTGTGTTTTGAGATGCTTTTCTGCTCAGCACGTTTGCAAAGACCGTATACATACTGTATATACACTGCCCACACAATGAAAAAAATCATTAGAAATACTGAGAACTGGAGAACAATTGAAGCGAGACCCAGTTGTTGCTGTTCTTTTGGCTGCTCCCGTTAGGGGTCGCCACAGCGGATCATTGTTCCGCGTATTTAATTTGGCATAGTTTTTATGCCGGATGCCCTTCCTGACACAATCCGGGCTTGGGACTGGCACTGAGAGCGCACTTTTGCACACAACACCAGTGGCTGGGGCTGGTTCCCTGGCTGGGAATCGAACCTAGGCGGCAGCGGTGAGAGCGCTGTGGCCTAACCACTAGTCCTCCAGGGACCCTGAAGTGAGACCGAGTAATTTTGGTTAAAACAAAAACTTTAAGCTTTTAACTCAGAATCAGAGAGTAAAATCTAAACAATGTTTGCACATCAATAACTTCGCTTAAATGTGCTCATTTATCAGCATTTATGTGAAAGGTGCATTGAGTGCACAAATGGATAGAACAAATATCACCTATAAAACAGACTGCAGATGAACAGACTGCAGTTCATTACACGAAAGCAAAAATGATGGGTTTTTTGTTAGTAGCTGATTTTTCCGCTCTGGGTTTATGGTTTTATTAATAACAGAGACTAGCTCTTTCTTTAAATCGTTCAATTCTATTATGATCAACAAGATGTTGTTTTAACTGAGAACATTGGGCTGATTAGATCCTTTATCGGGCCGGTCCTAGCCAGCCGTGTGTTTGGCTGTATGTTCGACACCCGTGTGTAAAGGTTCCCGATCTGTAGTTTAGTGTCACCAAGCTGATACCCTCTGGTGTAAAGCTGGATTTTTTAATGCCTTCTTACGGTTTATAGAGTGGAGCAGGTGGCGTGGAGCTGCAGAAAGATTGTTCCTCACACAGGCACATACAGTGAGAAAAGCAATTAAAAGCAGTGTTTCACTGCTGATGTTCTGCAAATGTGGCAGAGAAGTCATGAAATTGTGATTTTTTTTTTTTTTTTTTTTTATGAAAGGATGGGTCAAAATGCTTTAATTCAAAATAAATATTTGACACTCTGTAATATATTGCAAATGCAATATTACTCCTAAGTTTTATATATTTTTAATTACAATCAACTTCTGTACATGTAATTTGTATAAAAATACTGTATGTAACTGGTGTTCTGGAGCGCAGCTGTGTGTCTACATCATGCCGAGAAGAAAAGACATCAGCCATGTTATTTAGGCCCTGATAAATAAAAACATAGATTTGAAGAAGAGCGTATTTTCTTGCAATCATGAATCAGAATTGTGTGTACTGCTGAGTCAACTGCAGCTCTCACGGGCATGTGTACAAACCGTTAACCTCAGAGATGTGTGGAGTGGAAATGATCTCTATAGGTTAACACTGGAGGCAGAATCCAATGCAAGCCTATAGACTAGGGTTAGCGTCTCTCTCAAGCTCAGGGGCAGAGCCGCGGCTGTCCTGCGATTCAAACTCACATCCACTTGGTTTAGTCCAAAGTCTTTTTTTATTATCCATGCAGTTCTGGAAGTGTTCTGACGAAATGTTAGAACTGATTTAAACTTCCCCAAATCCATGGAAATCTTTACACAGAGAGGATATTTTTCAAAAGTTAAAAAAAACAAAAAAAACAATAATAGTTAAAAGCGTTTTGTTAAAGCCATCTTTCTGTTTCCAAACCAATTAAACAAAGTGTGTACTGAATATGCAACGATTAATGACCTTAATTTACGGGATGCAAGTTTTACATATCACAATTCCTCATTTTGTTGTTCACTCATTAGCTCTTCATTGTGTGTGTTTTTTTTTAAGCTTGTAGCAGAAGCAGTGGAAGTCAGGAGTAATTTGGAGGCTAGTATATAAACTTGGGAATAGTGTTTATACCACATCAGTTTCCCCTCATGGATGAGTCATTACCAGTATCTTTAACAAATCTGATTATTTTTCACAGCCTTTAGCACAATAATTTGACTAGAGATCATAACTTGTAATTCCTGACCTCTGACTTGGAAAAACCAAAGAAAATACATCCGCAAATTGGATTTTCTTCTCAGGAACTCGGGATGGTCTCCTCAGCTCCAAGCTGATTTCCTCCAAGGTCAGTAGGTGACGCCAAAACAACATGGCCGCTTGCAGCACCAGCAATAAACACTGCAGCACTTCTTAACTTTAACTATACTGAGTTACACTGTGTATACAAGCATTTGCTTTAGATTAATCAACATACAGACATATTCAGTTGTTAAATCTATAACACTGACTGTACAGTTTACTGTTTTAAGAACCAGGCTAGCTTATTGCTAACAAAAGACAAACATGGAGGCGTCCATGTTTTTCCCCCAACTGTAACTCAATTGCATTCCGTGCTCCGACTTCACACTTCCATCAGGTTAATGCAGCATAATTAAAAAAAAAAAAAAAGAATGTAATGAATCAATTTCTCCCAAATTCAGTGCTTTTAATGTATTTACATAAATGACCAGGTTAAAAACAGACAGTCAGCTCCAGAATTATTGGCACCTTCAGTAAAGATGGGAAGAAACGGCTGCGGATTATGAGCTTAATCTCACAATTAATATATGAGAATAATCTAAGATACATACATACATACACAAGCATGGTTACTTACATCATTAGCAAAAAAAAAAAAAAAAAAAAATTCAAAACTGCAGAGTACATGTTCATCCTTAAATGTATAAATCCAACCGCTTGTGATGCTGACTGTTACACACTGTTACAAAGACTCTAGCATGTGTCTCAATTCATACCCAGAATTTTTTCAGTCCTCCAAGTGTGTGAGCTGTGTAGTTGTGTACATTTGTGTAAATGTAAATGAGCTGTTAATGACACTATTTCAGATCGGTCCTATTTCCCGGCCACAGCGGAGAGCTGGTCTCGGATGCGTCCCAGGCCGTCTAGCATCGTGTCCAGTGTTTCTTTGCTCAGTTCCACAGTGACTGAAGACTCGCTTGTGCTGCTGCTCACGTTGCCACCATCTTGGATCTGTACACAAAACGGATCGTTGTTTTTTTTTCCCCTCCAGTGCTTAGTGTTGTGTCTCAGAGCTATGTGTATATGTATACGTATCTGTAGGACCTGATTTTATCGCTCAGTCCGTCATACCTTCATGTGCAGGATACAGGTAGGCACAGCCATGCGGCTCACAGAGTCAGACGCGGTCTTCATGTCCACCCTCCACTCCAAGTCTACAAGCCGTGGCAAAGAGACTGCAGCACAAACACACACAGGAACTGATGGAGTTACATGGTGCATTAATGAAGTGCAATAAAACAACTTCAGCTACAGCGTGGTTGAATTCTCGAATCTGATTGGTCAGAAGGTGTGCGTTATTTTTGCACGGCTCAGATAGTAGTTCCGGCTGTAAGGTGTGCAACAGGTTAATATTAATGCGCTTGTTCTAATACGTTATTGTTTCTATAGTAACAGCTCATACACTTTTAATAATAAATGGTTTAAAAATGTGGTGTTGTTTAACAAAGTAAACCATACTGTATAACTGTATAACAGTCACGATGCTTTGCAAACTTTTCCAGGACAGGAGTTTACTTTTTCCGTTTTCTCACTAAAACAATGACAAGCTGCATTTTTGAGAGAGAGAGAGAGAGCGCGAAAGAGAGAGAAAAAGAAATAAAGAGAGGCTGGTGAGGGTATGACTGTTTATCACGGCTATAGCGTAGGTGAGAACAGGAACTAACTTGTGTCTCAGACGTTCCACATCTTTAAATCTAACTATAAACCGTTAAAATGTGCGACATGTTGTTCATTAATAAATTAAACATTGTAAACATTTCCAAAGTGCTGTAGTGTAAGTGGAATAACAGATGACAGACCGCACGGTTATATGAAAATAATCCACTTCGGGGTGTTAACGGCACTCTGCTTGGCGTTGTGCCGCATCACACCACCCTGGTGTGGATTATTTTATAACTGCAAGGTCTCGTTTAATATTCTGTACGAATTAAATGGATGAGATACAGAATCCAGGAGCTCAGAAGATACTCACTCTGACTGGACAAAGCCTCATTTCTCCATGTCACACTAAAAAAAAAAAAATTACACAGTAACACAAATGATCACTGCTGAAGTAACGATACACAGAGAATCAGATTCTGAAGGATGCTTTACTGCTAATGAATAAACAGCAGCTTTTCAGTCACCTTTGTTCCAGCAGGATCTTGGTGAGGAGATTCTTGAGGTTTGAGTGGAATGTGGCTGGGAAAATAGACTGGATTTGTTCTGGTGCTGTAAAATTGTGGAACACCACATGACGCGAAAGCAAATGAAATGCTGTCAGCACCTGAGAAAGAGAGACGTGCATGAGCAATCTTTGTTCCTAACAGAGATGGATTTTTAAATGTTTATTGCTGTAAATGAATAAATCGCAGAGGACGCACCTGCATGGCCTCGCTGCTGGACACAGACAGGGCTCGAGCAGTGCTGTCTACCAGACTCTGGGACTCGTGCGCTCGCGACGGGAAACTGTCCATGCAAATTTGCCTCACAACATCTTTGGATGGAGCCTAAAAACATAACAGTCTTTGTGTTTGGCCAGTATATGCACATCTAATAAAACAAAATGTAGTAGAGGGAGAAGGTACAGCTGCACTATCAGAAAAGGAGTGAACAAAAACACTCCGGAGAACAACTTTAGGACTGAAGACATGATTGCAAGCAGGTCAATGAATCCGTAATGAGCAGCTGAACACACACACACACACACACACACTGCCTGACCCCCTCGCACAGGACTCCTGAAAGTCAAGCAAATTTCCAGCACTTTCTAAATAATGAAATGTTTCCCAACATAACCCTGATCAACATCTGTATTTGTAATTTGCATGATTTTCAACTCTCAAAGACTTCTAAGATCAAACAAATGTGTTGATTTCTTTTATGGGCTAGCAAAGCTAAGCTCGCACTCTCCTTTAAGGATACAATACATAAAAACAAGATAAAAGAAAAAAACCAGATAATTTTGTGTAGCATCCATACTGTCTTATTTGCTGTTTAAAATGGATTAATTTTGACTTTTGTGGAACCAAGAACAACAGCACCACAAACAATCGTAAGTAAAACTACACCAAACGGTACAAGGTAGAGGCTCGGGCTGATTTCTTTCTATCCCAGGCAACAGATTTACTGAAACTGAGTGAAACTCCCACTAGATTTCATGTGCATTTGGACTAATTTATTTAAACCAGCTTCGCTGACATCCCTAAAACATCAAGAGCAGTGACTGAGAAGAAAAATAAACAGTTGCTGGAATAATAAATGTGAACGCAGCGCATTACTTTCTCGATTACTG